TTTTTTTTCAATTTCTGAAAATGTTTTTATCGCCCTCGGCCTCAGATCCTTTGAAAGAACAAGCAAAAAATTATCAATAAATGCCCTAGTGCAATTATGACATCACTATTACTGGACTAATATAAAATTGCCGAGTAATTCTTTTCTGATTGGTTTGAAATAAGATATAAACACATGCTCCTAGTGACAAAAAGTGAACAATTTGTTCACGAGAGATGTATAATTATGTGAACTTCATAAAGAAAGCGAGTACAAATGTACAACGTTACGCTGTTGTTAAGGATACAGTTGTATACATTCCATATCCAATAGCCAATCTGCGTAAATTGATCAATCTAATGCTAATTCAATCATTTATAAGAAGGCTCATATTTTATACTTTGTTTTAACAATATACAGTGACCGCCAAAAAGTTTGCAACAAATGGGAAAATATTTTATTATTAAGTTTTAGAGGATGGAAAGAGAATGTTACGTGCGATCGATTCAGCATACCCATCAACTAAAAAAGCACTGTGATAGATGTCATGTGACCACAATTATGGCGGGAAATTTCAAAAATTACAAAAAAAAACAAAAATTCATTTTTAGACAGCTCTGACTTTGTTGCAATGACCCGAGCAATGACCTATAGAAAACAAAAAATTTAGAATTATCATAAAATCTTTCCAAATAATCCATTTCCCTTTTCTTAATTTAATTAAGCCCATATTTTATTGGATTTGCTTGTTAGTAAAAACTTATCATAAAATTAGTGCCAGTGTATTTTATTCATTATTGCGCATACTTTGATGGAAGTCGTTTTAAAATGATTACAACCATAACTTAATTAATCAGGATGAAGACCTCTAAATCTACAAAATGTCACAAGAAATATTGCAAACACAATAAAAAACAGAACAAACAAGAAAATTAATGGAAATTAGTGATATCTGCATATCTGCACACAGTTTGAGAAAATTTTAAATTATCTAGGCAGTAGATGTCGCCACGGAGAGGCAAAAAACGTTAGCCCAATTAGAATCTGTGTCCCCCGTTGCGTTCCATACATAACATGGTTCTTCTGTGAAGTTCTCTATACACATTTCTCACCATTTGCGGAGTTATTTCAGCTATGCAATCTCGGATGATGTATTCTAAATTCGCAACATTTCTGAATGGCCGATGTTTGTATACCATATTTTTTAAATACCCCCATAAAAAAAAATCCAACGGAGTAAGATCGGCGACCTAGCCGGCCAAGGGTTTTGAGAATAACGACCTATCCACTTCTGGTGGAACGTTTCATCCAACCATGTTCTTACATCGAGTGTACAATGAATACTTTGCAGTAATGGCATATTGTCCAGAACATTTGAAAGTTCTGTTTGCAGAAAATGCAAATATCTTTCCGCATTTAAATTGTCATTATTGGGATGGAACTTATTTCTTTATAAAATCTTTCTGACTGACGTTCCTTCAATGGTTGTAATATTGGAAATATCACTCACCGATATCTATGGTGTTTCTGAAACCGTTAAACGTACATCCAATAAAGTACTTTCGTCCCCAGTTACCAGTTTTTCATGAGAAACTTTGTACTGGTTTTCCATAGAGCCTGTTTGTTTAATTTTTTTTATTATGCGCGACACTGGAATAATGAACCATTTTGTCTGGATGTCTTGCATGGAATATCTCTGCTACCTACCTGGCTGTCTTATAATTATCTCCGTGAATAAGCACTATTTCGATTTTCTCGGGCACTGACAGGGCTGGAGGCATTTGGTTTACTTTGCTGTCTCTTCAAGGTGTGTTTGCTTTTTTGGATGGTAGAAATTTTGTCTTTTTTTTTTGCAAATTGAATGAAACTATTCAACAATTTTCTCAAACTGTGTGTAGACTCACTGATTTTCGTCAATTTTCTTGCCTTCTGTTTTTTATTGTGTTTGTAATGTTTCTTACTAACATTTTGTATGGTTAAGTTATGGTTGTAACAATTTATAAAGGCTTGAAAAAATGAAAATGTTGAATAAAACACACTATAGCAGTGGCGTATCCAGGGGGGGGGGGCAAAGGGGGCAATTGTCCCCCCCCCCTCAGAGCAACAACCTTTTATTTCTTTTAGTCCATAAAAATATCTCAAATAACAAAAAATATTTTTTTCTACTCGCATACGCAAGTTTATTACTTTGCACACTCTTTCGCGTGCGCAAAGTTCAACTAGTTCTTCTAAGTAAACAATAACCCCTGTTTGAGTAATATTTCAATGTTCTTCAAAAAAAAATCTGGAATTCGTTTTCAATTTCATACATGACAGAAGACATAACCTACCTGACAGACCTGAGTTTTATAAGGGTAGGTTTTCATGCATCCGTCGTACGATGGCACGATGATACGATGAAGCTCCTATTGGTTAAATAGTTTCCCGCCATGTTTTTTCCGAATATTTTTAACTTTTCTCCGACGTCAGATGAAGTTAAAATAATTTTAACTTTTTATACGACATCGTATGATTTGACATTTTTGATGTATAATTAATTTCAACCTCACTTTTCCATGTTTTTTTTTGATATCTATAAAAATCCCCAACAACAAGGTGTTTATAATAATTCATTGAATAAAATGAGGCTCACGGAGAAAGAGAAATATTTCAGTAACCTGAGCAGTCAAATATTTTTGACCATTCGTGAACGATTCTTATCATCGGATGTCGGATGCATGAAAATGCCAATTATCAGAAAATGTCCAAATTTTCTGACCAAAAGCCGCGAATTCAACCAATCGGAACAATTTCGTATTGTCGTATCATGGGATGACGGATGCATGAAAACCTACCCTAATACGAGGCATATTATTTATCCAATATCATTAGCCAATATTGGGATTTCAAGATAGGCGGTACTCTATCTGGCGGCAAATTACGGAACTAGTTTGTAGTACATTGTCATATGTTTTTCTATTGTTTATCATTGTATTTGTGTAAATATTTTTGAGGTGTTTTTGAGTTTTTAAAGCGTGTTGATGAATTATTAAGTTTAAATTATATCAAATACATTCAATTATGACCTCCAATCACTACTGTTGTGTTCCTCAGTGCAAATCTTGGGCTAAAAAAGATGCTGACAAAGGGTTGAGTTTCCACATATTTCCCCCTGAAACAGGCCCACAGGTTTATTTGGAAACGAAGATGGGAAAAGAGTAGTGTCGAGAAGAAAAGCCTGGATTTTGAAACTTCGTATTGGCAAACCAGTCACCAAATTCATGAAAGTGTATTTATCTGCATTTCAAGCAAGAAGTTTGTGTTAAGGTAAACAAGCATAATGGAGATTTTTGTGCCCTAGCTTCATTTTAGGCCTGCTCTCAGGCATTGATTAAGTACTTATTATCTATTTTTAAAATATTTTGTTTGAAAATATTGACTGTTTTTATTATTTACAGGTGAGAGTACAGGTAGAGGTTGGATATTGAAAAAAAACAGCTGTACCATCCCAGAATTTTCCCTCTTCTACAGTGATCCATCAACCCAGTCAAAAAACAGATTCCATGTGTGCTGAAAGACTTGCCAATTTTACGAAATATTTATTTATTTATTGCACATACAAGTTATTCAGATACAGACATTATAAGGGACATATCTGCCTTGACCCTTTTGGCAATGTCCTATTGTGGAAAGTTTTAAAAAAATATAAGAAAAAGATCCGTTTAGGCTGTTGTATGGATATGACCATTTCGTATCAGGTAGACGAAATAGATTATATTGAATTTTGGCCTGCATTAAGAGCCGTAAACATAAGACAAACATTCAAGCTAATGTAAATCATATGTAAATTAGGTTCAAAACAAAAGTGAGGTTATAAATCAATGTACTAGAAACTAGTTGAGCTATTCGACACCGCGGCGCTACGATGTTAATTTGAAATCCCAATCTCCGGAACTATTGATTATTGTACTCTAGAGCGCAATGGTAATTTTTAATCAGGAAGACTTCCACTAACGATATGAAAAATTCAGGGAATTTCCACATAGAACATTTTGCATAGGATTTGAGCGGGGTCCTTTAGGACTATGTTTTTGAATTAAAAACGGCTGTTCCGGTTAAATCTGTTCCGGATGTTTGACAGTTCAAGTGTTCAAGAACTATTCAATGTTGATCCAGTCGGTTCATACGCTGTGGTCGGAAGTAGCTGGGACGATTTTCGACGTCGAGGTTAGATTTATTCAGAAATCACAAATTTACATATTTATTTTGCTTGTGTCTGTATTTTAAGTAGTTCCATTATTATTATTTGGAAAGAAAGTTCCCCGGACACCAGGGCCGTAGCACCATCTATTAGCAGTGAGTTATAGGAGTGCCTTTTTATCATTTCGACATTTAGTAAATAAACAATTGAAAATAAAACAAAGTCCTGAATTATAGTTGTGAAAGGTAATATTGCAGTCGCTTAAAGATAAAATGTTCTATGCCATTCGGCCCAGAAGGTTTTTTTGAGCTTCGCTCGATTGCTTCAAACGTCAAGCTCAGCACTAAAAGAGCCACTTCTTGGCCTAATGATATAAATAACTATTAAATACCTATGCTGATTGTAGGTATTATAAAAAAAACTTTCTTACTATTAATACCATAGAAAGTGTGCGAAAGCAAACTTTCAAGTTTGTGCCAGAGCAGCTAAAAATATGCCCTTTCAAATTAATTTTTGAACATTTGAATGTAGATAATGCTAGAATATTCTTGACATACGTAATACAGGAATTACCAAATCCAAAATAGAAGCGATGACAATCGCCAGAACAAAGAGAACTGCAACAAATTCATGAATAAACAAAAAATACCCGTCTTACACAATTCAATTGTGACAATTGTATGGTATTTACACTTATAATTATTATCTATATACCTAAGTGTAGTAGTTCACAGACCAAACGTGTAAAACGTGCCTTCAGTGTAAATCAATAACAAAGTAAAACATTACATTTTTACAAATTCTACCTCCGACACAATAAATAATATGCAAAATAACTTACTCATGTTGTGGTTGTCTTTTTTCTGTCGGTCTTTCGCCATTGCATGTATCTCAGCATCACTAAGTAAAAATGGCTCGTTTTTAATATTAATGTCATTGGCTAAGGAACTGTCAGACGTTTTGAAACTGTCTGACGCCAGCGAACTGGACTCCAATGATAGCAAGTCATCGATTAATTCTTCAGCCTGAAATTAAAGAAAAACAGAAATCGTTATACCTAGAAACTATCAGAAGTATATTTTTCATATTCAATAACAACATGAAATAGCTTTTTTCAAAGATTCTTCACAAATAAGGAAGATCTGTGTGCCATTGACGTATTTTTCCTGTAATTCATCAGTTTTCAATTAACATAAAGCTGGGTAAATGTTGATTTACCTATAGTAGGTAATTTACTCATGATTATACAAATGAGTTGGGCTTCAATTAACATATTTTGACGTGAATTAAAACCGTATTTAAAGTTTACATAATTAAATTTTTCAGTTTTAGCAAGCCAATGGATAACCAATCTATTGTTATTTTGTCAATGCACCACCATTTTTAAAATCTACAACAACGAATAAAATCAAAAACAAAATGGCCATGGAATAATAGTATAGTTTTGCGATATAATGATGCATTAAAAATAATTGATGACATTGAATATTTTCATGATATTTGAAAAATATAACCATACAATTAATAATGGCATGTACCCTTGCATTACCGATCTGTTTGTACAATATGCGAGGTTTTGTAACGGATATCGTTTAAAATCAATTGACTCTCGTAATATTTTATTGTAGTTGGACCCATATTAGTAGATAGATGATTAATTTCGTATAATTGAATATTTTATTATACGATTCAAAAGTCAAAAGTAATTATTTATTCAACATAGTTTGTTTGTCAATGATGGCTGTTGATTATTATTGCTTCAATAAACTAAGTAGTTATTGAATTCAGGATCGTTATGTAATCCAGGCTGGATGCTGGATATTTAACCCCAAGAACTCCATAAGTATAGTATACTTAATATTACTACCATATAATATACTGTATTGTAATGCCCGACATAATAATTTATAGGAAATGGGGAAAATTCAAATATATAGAAAATATCTTTTTTAATTCAACAATAATTGCCTCTATTCCGTTTATAAACATTCTCCGAGTCTTAATAATCCCAAACGTTTTGGTATAAACTAGTAACAATTTGCACAATAATGGGTCAATGTCAATAAACAAAATAGTGACACATGTAGTGACTTAAATAATATATTAGATCTACGAACTACTCAAAATTTCCCATTTGCCAATCACGCAATTTTTCGTTTGAGTTTTTTACTATAAGTTTTTTTTGTTTGTTTTCAACTGACACGCACGTTAAAATGACCGAAATCAAAATCAAAATAACATCATTGAAATGTTTAGGTTAAAATTCCTATGAAAATGATACCAAGCAATAATTTTTACCATTTTCATTCAAATAATAGATTTCAAAATGATAGATAAGTGGTGCTATTACAATTAGTATAGAGAGTTATTGGTTATTGGGTAGTCCTCATAGTAACACTATATAAATAGAGAGGGCAAGTCATTCATAAAATCGTTTGGTTTCTGCGGCCAACAATCCTAAACGACAATAGTGGATTAATGAATGAACTACATGGAGTGGGGATAAGATTGCGGACAATCCGGACCAATTACAAACAAAACCCGTTTGACATTTCTTACTATGAATACTAGAGCGCATTCGCGAATATGGTCGGGCTTGCTCTGGCAATATTTGCATCCTTCTTTATCTGGTTATCTTAACAAAGACAAAACGATTCAGGTGGGCGTTCCTTGACGAATACAACCGGGTTCTCAGATTTTAGGCAGAGTTGCCATTTTCAGCTAGCACAAATTCTTATTCAAATTTTATCGTGATAATAGATTATTATTTTGTATAATAATTATTCCTATTCAATTTTGGAAAGCACCGCGATATTTTATGTTATAATTGTTTATACATATACCTATCTAGGTTTTTATATTTACGATATATTTTTTTCAATTTCCAATTCCATTTTCCCTGCAACTTAGGACAATTTATAAATATGGCATATCTGCAGTAAGTGTCCGCAAGTGATCTTAGAATGTGAGTCAATGTTTGGGGCATTTTTTAATCATAATAAACCTATCTATTTCATGTGTTAATCTGAGGGGTAGTCAATAACCAGTGCCAAAGGCAGTATACCTAATATAAACTGAGTTGTTTTGAAATGTAGGCCTACGCAGTTGGGTCCATAAATCATAGGTATAGGTATAGACAATAGAACTCAAAGGAATTCTTCTACTGACCAAATCCTCAGAGCACGATCTCGACATCGCAAATACTGGTCTTTCTGAAAAAAATGCGGCAACATCCTAGATGGACTGGCATCTTTTTGACTATGTTATTGTGCGCTCGAAGACCAACGTGACCTGGAAGTAACCATTATCCATGCTGATGATTACTGGACTGACCACCGAATGGTCCGATATGTGATGTTGGTTAGATATTGAGCGAACCACTTCAAGAAGGAGACATTTATTGGACGAAAGAAGAATACGAATGCTTGAAAACGAATGGTAGACGACAAAGTCGATAGAATTGGAAGACTTAACAGTTTCTCACAACACTAGATTCTTCTACAGCGCCACAAAAGCCACCTATGGTCCTCTACATCTATACCTTCTCAACATCAAATTGAGACAACACAATCAAATTGAGAATAAACATTTTCAAAATAAGATTGGACAAAATCAAATTGAGAATAACCAATTTCAATATGAGAATAAACACCATCAAATTGAAAACACAATCAAATTGATATGCGCTCATTTAAAAAAGTAGTCATATCTTATTCAAATATGGATAAACGTGAAATTTTACATAATGCATATCAGCTAAAGTTCATTTCACCAGACAAGATAGTGACAGTAAACAAACTTTGACAGGTAGGTCGAATTTTATTGCCTAGAAAAGGATTATACTCCGCCCTAGACAGGACCGTCTTAGGTTGTTTTGTATTTGTATTCTCTGAATATCTTTATTTTTGGTCTTCAGCGGAATCTGTTGAACTTGACATCGTTTTAATCTTAAATTGCCCACTAATTAACAATAATTCACCAAACACTATTTAAATAATTGTAAAATACTAGGAAATACGACACCAAAACCTATTGACTCATATGACAACCTGACAATAATAAATGTCATTGGTTGTAATTCATATTTTTGCAGTCCTTCTCTGAATTTTTAAGCTCCGCCTGTTTGTTTACTTCTACTATCTCGTTTCGTGGAATGAAGTTTAAGTTCAAAGCATCTGGAATAAATCTTTGAATGTGAGCAACATCTAGTGCAGTTGTTGTTGTTAAATGGTGGTTAATTACGTTGCATTATATCTTCCAATCGTATATTACATCCTGATGGAAATAGCATTCTCAGAAACTTCTAAACATAGAGAGATTCACATGGATTATTCGTTTTCAAGAAAGTCTCTCAAAAACCCACTCAAAATGATCTTGATGACGTTCCTTTCCATTTAGAGGTTGAAAAAGCTATCAACCAACTGTAAAATTATAAAGCTGCTGGGTTAGGCGAAGTCGCTGACGAGCTTTTGAACTTGGGCCGCCGCGCCGTACGCTGACCGACCACAAGCATATAGGTATATTGACGAAATATGGAAAACTGAGATGATTTCCACATATCTGCGTGACATATCTGTAGTCACTATATTCAAGAAAGATGACAAGGCACAGTGTGGAATTTACCCAGGACTACCAGAGCATGAAAAATTCTTGCCAGAATAATTTTCTTCAGCCGCCTTCTGCCTTCGGCCAAAGCGGCCTAAGACACATTGTGGCTTTATATCAAATCCAGGTACGGCGGACCTACAGTGCAACACACATACAGGAAAACTGGAAAAACCAAAAAAAACCATGAATGCATTGCATGGCTGTTTGCTTGAATTGTACAATATACTTTATTTACTGCATGACAACACAAAGGCCACTGTCTTCATCATTGTGCGAAGTTTATTCTCAATGTTTGTGGGAACTGTAAATCGCGTTGATGAAAAAAACTTGACGATGTGTGTCCGTTATCCCTTAAATAACTGATGGTGAGCTATTCAAGCCTAACAGACTTCGAGCCAAAACCAAGATATCCATAGTACCTGTCCATGAAGTTCAATATGCTGATGAAAACACAGTTCTGGCGAACACAGAGGAAGGCTTACAAACTACTCTATATGCGTTTAGGCAAGCATACGAAGGCATTGGTTTAGAACCTAATACGGAGACATAAATCCCATACCACCCCGCTCTAAATACTAATGCACCAGGTCCAGCTGTAATTAATAGAGTTAATACATTATCTAATGATAGGTGCGTTTAGTGATTGATATTTTTGTTACCTATTACATTTGCAAGTCACACATTGTAAAACTGATTCCAAACCTGTAAAACGACACCTCACCTGCAGAAACATGGCATTTTGCGACGAATAAGCGCCAAGCGGTATCGTTTATGTTTTCAATGTTGTCAGTCGAGTCTGAGAAAAATGCAGGGCAGGGCTTATAAACAATCGGGTTTTGGATTGCGTTAATTTCTGGTCAGACAGACTATTATTGTACTTGATAAGCAGATATACTTATAACGTGTTCTTTGGAAAAGTTGACTATTATTCAAATCTTGTCCCTTCATTTTAAAGGCAATAAGTGGAGATTTTTAAAAAAAACTAATCAATAGGGTTACTTTTTGCAGAGCGCAGTCTGTGATTTTCCGCATTTATACGAATTTAGCTTTAAAAAGATAAAAGTCATTCAAATTATAAATAATCAGGAAACCTCATTACTAATTAATAAGGGAGTCAATTTACACATTTGCCGTTACTTCGATATTAGCGAAGTTAAATATTAAATATTATTATATCAATCCAGGAAAAAATAACTTCGTTGATTTATAATGATCGTTTTGACAGAAATATATGGTCTAAAAATAATTTTAGAAAACCGGCAATGCAATAAACGCTCAGGTAGATATTAGGATATTACTAGACTTTGGTATTAAATAAATAATAGTACCTATATTATTTAGGTAGCTAAGTTTCTTTAAGCCGAGGAATAGTAAATAATACAAATAAAAGATTGTAAATCATTGGAATCATTTATCA